GAAAGAGCTCTATACTGTAAATTATAAAATACTGCTAAGAAAAATTAAGGACCTATATAAATGAAGAGATATACCATCTTTTTGGATTTGAAAGACCCAATACGGCCTGAATTGCTTTATAGATTCAATACAATCACAAATAAATCCAAGCAGGGTTTTTTGGCAAAAAACTGATGAGCAGATTCAAAACTGTATACGGAAATGCACAAGACCTACAATAGCCAAGACAATTTTGAAAAAGAATCTACTTAGATGACTCAACCTGATTTCTTTCTTTTTTTTTAATAACAGCTTTATTGAGATATATTTCACATACCACAGAATTCACATTTTTAAAATGTACAATTCAGTGGTTTTAAGTATATTTACAGAGTTGTGCAACCATTACCATCTAATTTTAGAACATTTCATCACCACATAAAGAAACCCCATACCCAACAGCAATCACTCCTCACTCCCTCCTTTACCCCCCAGTCCCTGGCAACCATTGATTTACTTTCTGTCTCTCTGAATATGACTATTCTGGAAATTTCATTTAAATGGAATCACACAATATGATCTTCGTGACTAGCTTCTTTCACTCAGCATAACGTTTTCAAGGTCCATTTCTGCTGTAGCACATATCAGTACTTCACTCCTTTTTATTGCCAAATAATATTACATTGTGTGGATATACCACTTTTGTTTATCCAGTTTTTAGTTGATGGACGTTTGGACTGTTTCCACATTTTGGGTATTATGAATGATGTTGCTATGAACGTTCATGTACAGGTTTTGGTGTGCACATATGGTTTCATTTCTCTTGCATTATATATCTAGCAGTGGAATTGCTGGGTCATGGTAATTTCATGTTTAACGTTTTGAAAAACGGCCAAACTGTTGTCCAAAGTGGCTGTATTGTTTTACATTCCCACCAGCAATGTATGAAGGTGCCATTTCATCGTATCTTCATCAACACTCGTTATTATCTTTATTATAGCCATCTTAGTGGATGTGAAGTAATATTTCATAGTCATTTTGATTTGCACTTCCCTGATGAATAATGATTTTTAGCATTTTTTCATGTGCTTATTGGCCATTTGTATATCTTCTTTGGAGAAATGTCTATTCAGATCTTTGCCCATTTTTCAGTTGGGTTATTTGTCATTTTATTGTTGAATTGCAAAAGTTTTTTATATGTTCTACACACAGGTCCCTTATCAGATTCGCAAATATTTTATCCCACTCTATGGATTGTCTTTTAATCTTCTTGATGGTGTCTTTTGAAACACAAAAAGATTTTACTTCTGAAAAAATTAAATTTACCTATTTTTTCTATTATCACATATGCTTTTGGTGTTATATCTAAGAAACTCTGGCCTAACGCATGGTTGTGAAGATTTACTCCTGTTTTCCTCTAAGAGTTTTATTATTTTAGCTCTTATATTTCGGTCTGTGCTCCATTTTGAGTTAATTGCTGCATATGGTGTGAGGGAGGGGTCCAACTTCATTCCCTTGCATGTGGATATCCAGTTTTACCAGCACCATGGGTTGAAAAGACTATTCTTTTACTCATTGAAGTGTCTTAGCACCTTTGTCAAAAATCAACTGACCATATATTTAGAGATTTATTTCTGTATTCTCAGTTTGATTCCGTTGATCTATATGTCTATCCTATGCCATTACCACACTGTCTTGATTAGCGTAGCTTTGTAGTAAGTTTTCAAATTGGGAAGTGTCTGTCCTCCAACTTTTTCAAGATTGTTTTGGCTATATCAGGTCCTTTTTGTTCCATATGAATTTTTAAAATCAGCTTGCCAATTTCTGAAAAACAGGCTGCTGGGATTTTGATAAAGATTGCATTGAATCTGTACATTAATTAGGGGAGTGCTGTCATATTAACAATATTAAGTCTTCTTTTTATAAACATGGGATGCCTTTCCATATATTTACATCTTCTTTAACTTCTTTTGTTATATTTATTACCAAGTATTTTATTCTTTTTGAGGATATTGGTAATGGAATTGGTTTTCTTCCTTTCATTTTTGGATTATTCATTGCTAGGATGAAAAAATACAATTGATTTTTGTACATTGATCTTGTATCCTGTAATCCTGCCAAATTCGTTTATTAGTTCTAACAAATTTTTAGTGGATTCCTTAGAATTTTCTGTACAGAAGACCATGTCATCTGTAAATAGAGATAGTTTTACTACTTCCTCTCTAATCTACATGCCTCATTATTTTTCTTGCCTGCTTATCCTTGTTGGAACATCCAACACAATGTTGAATAGATGTGGAGAGACATCCTTATCTTGTTCCTGATCATAGGGAGAAAGCAGTCAATTTTTTACTATTACATACAATTACAGATAACTGTAGATTTTTCATAGATGACTTTTACGAGACAGAAGAAGTTCCCTTCTATTCCTAGTTTTCTGAGTGTCATTTATCATGAACGGGTGTTAGATTTTGTCAAATTCTTTTTCCACATCTGTAGAGATGATCATATGGGGGGTTTTTTTTCATTTATTCTATTAATGTGGGGTGTTACATTGGTTGATTTTTGTACGTTAAACATTCCTGGGATGAATCTCACTTGGTCATGGTGTATGATGGTCATAGTGTATAATTTTTTTTATATGTTGCTGGATTCAATTTGCTGGCATTTTGTTAAAGATTTTACATCTGTATTCAAGTTATATTGGTCTAGAGTTTTCTTCTAATGTCTTTGCCTCATTTTGGTATTGGGTATTCTGGCCTCATAGAATAAGTTGGAAAGTGTTCCCTCCTCTCCTATGTTTTGGACGGGTTAAAATTACTAATCCAATCTCTTTAGTTGCTATAAGTTTGTTCAGATTTCCTATTTATTCTTTATTCAGTTTTGGTAGTTTGTATCTTCCTAAGACTTTGTCCATTTTATCTAGGTTATCTAATTGTTGGCATACTGTTGCCCATAATATTCCCCTATATTCCTTTTTATTTCTGTAAGGCCAGGCCCACTACCTGATTTCAAGACTCATTATAAAGCTATGGTTATGAAGATGTCTTAGAGAGGACAGAGAAAGCACTATTCATAAAACAAAAAATAATGACTAAATTAGACATAATCAACATTAAAATTTTCTGCTCACCAAAAAATGTGATTAAGAAGATGAAAAGACAAACCCAGAATAGACGAAAATATCTGCAATAAGTATATCTAACAAAGAACTTGCTTTTAGAATATATAAACAACTCTTCTAAGTCAGTAATAAGAAGATAAAGAGCCCAATTTAGACAAATGTGCAAGGGACTTAAACAGATCCTTCACAAAGAAGATACTCAATGGCTAATGAACTCCTGAAAAAGTTCTCAACATCATCAGCCACAACGTCAGTGTGAATTTAAGCTGCAATGAGATACCGTTTCATACCTATTAGTCTGGACTGAATTAAGAAAGAGATGAAACAAATGTTGATCAGGACATAGAGCAACTGGAACTCTCTCATACATTGCCCAAGAGAGTGTAAAATGAAAAACTGGCAGTTTCTTATAAAGTGAAACATATACATCCCCAATTACCCTGTAAGTCCTCTCTACATGTTTACCCTAAGAAGAATTAAAGACTGTGCAAGAATATTCACTGTGGCTTATTCATAGCAGCTAAGAGCCTGGAAACAACCCAAATGTCCATCAGTGAAAGAATGGATTAAAAAATTATAGTTTATTTATTTACTACCCAGCCATAAAAATTAACAAACTATCAACAAAATTGAGACATTATGTTGAATGAAATAAACTGGACACACACAAAAAATACATACTGTATGATTTTGTCTATATGAAGTTCAAGAACAGGCAAAACCAAGCAATGGGGTAAGAATCAGAAGAACAGTGGTTGTGTCTGCTGCGGTGGTGAGGTGGGGGCTGACTGCAAAGGGGCCCAAGGGAAATTTCTGGGGTGATGGGAGTGTTTTATATTTGGTTTGAGTATTCATTACAGGTGTATATGCTTGTCAAAACTCATCAAATGATACACCAAAATCTGCGTGTTTTACTGTATGCAAATTAACCTCAAAAAACATTGTAAGTAAGATGTCCGATGTAAGTGATTTAAATATTCTTCCAGGTGGCTTGGATCAACCTTAGTCTTGTTGCATGAAGCCCAGTCTGCAGGATTTGCTGTCCGTGTACGCTGGAATCCCAGCCTCGAGCACAGTAAGAGCAGAGGTGTGTCCACCTAGCCCCTCCCAGGCCAGCAGCAGCTGGGCAGCTCCACAAGCCCACTACACCAGATTGGCAGAGTCTCTCTGCTTACCACCTTTTTATAAACGCTGGCACCAGCTCAGCCACTGGTGCAGTAAATTTCAAACACACACCAGTTCTAAGTTATTCAGAAATTAATTCTTGTAGTTAACAGTGAGAAGCAGGATTGCATAGGGAGGAAAGAACACAGGATCAGGGCCCAAAGTTTGGAGTTATATCCCTGGTCCATCTACTCCTGGACCCTGGGATCTTAGGCATTCCTCAATTTTCTGATCTTTAGAATGCAGTGATGACACACAACTGCCCAGACCACCTCCTAGGGCTTCGAGGAGGAAGAGCTGAGAGGCAAAGATAAAGCCTGCAGTCAAGTATGAAGTTCCATGTGAATTTACGGTACTGTTACTATTTCATTATAACCTGACTCCTACCGCCTCCCCTCTAGGCACACACCTTGACCTATTGTTGAAAAGTTTACTGTAAATTAGAACCTTTATAGAGGTAAAGAAATTTTAGCCATTTAAAAGTCTTTTTCTTTCAGAAACTCTGGAGAAACACTGGTTCGAGTCTCCTCAAATTCTCTGTGGATCCCGTTCATCTGGATATACAAACAACCAAGACTCAAACATCACTTTTAACCCAGGCATTGAATTTTCACCACAGACACTTTCCTGCTCACAGGTAGAAAATGAAGCCCCCTGCCTGCCTCCTCTCATTCCTTATTAATGCGAGGGCCTCCCACTCACCTCGGGAGGCAAACCCTGAGAGCCATCTCACCTGTTGGCGAAGGTCAGGGCCAAGGCCGTGGCCAGGTGAGGCATCAGCCGAAAGGTCTGTGTTTGGTGCTCAATGATCTTGACCTCTTCCTTAGCTTTGGGCCCAAACTGCCTCCGGCTAGAGAGAACGAAGCAGACACAATTTTTACTGAAATCCAATAGGCAACTTCATTTCCAGAGCTAAACGTTGTAAGCAGACATCTGCCTTTCAAATGCTTCAGAAGACACAATGCCCAAGTCTCCTAAAATGCCATTAAGATAACAAAATATCAAAAATTTCTGAAGATAGTCCAACAGAAAGCTTTCTAGCTCATCTGGAAATTAACCTTCCCACCATGGAATATTTTTAAAGCAGTGTATCTATTTAATACAGAGTAACTTTTACTCGTTAACATTTACATGGCATTTTATAGTTCCAAGTGCCCCACGATCATTAATTATCCAGCTTTACTAAGTTTGTGACATAATTAACAGGATGGGAGCCATATCCTAGAACATATTTCAAAAGGACATTCTCAACAAGGAGGCAACGCTAACCTGGTGCTCCTGTCAGATTCACAGGCGGGTCATTACTTTCAGCCCACCTAAATCCCCCCCAGTTCCACACGGAGGTGGTCTTCTCCACATCCTGCCTTAAACCCCGGGCTCTGTGGACAGCTGCTGCATTTCGCTCTGAGGCAGCTGTGTCGGGGCGAGTCCAGGCTTTCCTCAGAGCAGTTTATAAAGTGGTATGGGACTGTCCCCACAGGCGACGCCCATGGACTAATTTTACAGAATCCCTCCGCTGCAGACTGCAAGGAGCCCGGCCTGTGAGAGGTCACCCCTGCTCTGTGTGATGCTCCACAGTCCTGGGCTTGGCAGCCTCCTGCACTTGAATACCTCTGACCTTCACGTTGATTTCTGAAACTTTTCACACACACATGCATGCACGTACACACATACACACACATGTGCACGCATATACAGGCGTGCACACACAGATACACACAGTGCTACGTTATCAAACAGGCAGGGCACACCCGTGCTTCAGACACCAGTGAGGTGAGGAGAGCTAACCATCAATCACTCAAGGAGAGAAGCAAATCAGCTAATTTTTAAAAATTTTATATTTGATAGACTTTCTTAAACATAATTTGATGCTTTACCATCATCTTAATTTGTAATTAAAAGAAGATGATCTTTTTCGTGCATAAGGTGTCTAGAATTCACAACCCGGCCCTGTTGGGTGGGTGGGAGGTGGTGGGGACATACATGACGACAAGCACACACAGGGCAGCCGCTTTGGAGCACTGTGAGTGCAGGATTGTATTCTATGAGCACTGACTTCCCCTGGCACAGTCTAACCACCCCACAGACGGCTGTCTGAGAAACACGACCCACCCCGCCCTCCATCCATGCCCTCCGTCCATCTCAGCACACACTCAACCCCAGCAGGGCCTGGCGCCAAAGGAGGCCCAACAGGCTATAGGGAAACCTCTCAGCTTTTGCTGGATCATTGCGAAACCAATAAAAAAATCACTGATCCAATAATGATGTCATAATGGCAGGTCATTTTACAAATTCCATTTGTCCTCACTCTCCTAACTTTCATGTTTAAATGCTGTGATTATGCTGTAGCTTTTTCTATGGTCGCTCTAACTAAAATCTTGTCTACCGAAACCAGACATCGCCACATGCAATTCACTCCTCTGGGGGACGCCTGCTCTGCACTGGCACCACACCAGGTGCTGGGTGTCCACCAGGGTCAAGAAGGCCGGTGAGCTCACAGCCTGGGACATGGAGAGAACCAGACCAGGTGGCATGGGCGGGAGAGCCTTGTGCCTGCCCCACCCACCCCACCCTGTCAATCACCAGTATTTCCTATGTGCTGCCAGAACATCATTGCAGGAAACCTCACCCACACAGCGACAGCAAAAGTGACTGATCACAGCACCTTTTAGTTTTTGTTTTGCTGAAAAATCATTACAATAACAATACAGTTTTAGATAGCGTCCCACCAAATTTTCTGTTTTTGTGTGTGAAGTGTTTGCCTTGGCCCCACACACAGCAGACAGTCAATATTTGTCGGATGAATGAAAGAATGAATGAGTTTTCCCAATGAGGCAGTGCACATGAAGCACGGCAGACCGGCTCACTGAAGACCTCAGGGAAGATCTTTGGATGCCAGATCTGACCCCGACCTGGTGTGCCTCAGTTTCCCAAACGAGGCACACCTTGTAATCATCCCGTTTCCTCTTTGACCTTCACCGTTCAATTGAGGTGACAGGCACAGAGCAGAAAGAGGCCACCACGGGTCCATGTGGCAGGCCTCCCAGTGCCGATAGGGAGGAAAGAGCTTAGATAAGGCTCTGCCGAGTTAGTTTCCAGGTGATTTCACAAAACTCAGGAGATTTCACAAGAATCTGAATTTCCAGCCTTTCTTGAAAACTAGGAAGATCTGGCAACTCTGGCCCCCTTTCCCATGATGTAATCCCTCGGAGCTCAGAGGCTGTCGCCCCCTCCAGTTGGGGCATGGCTGTCCCCCATGCTCCCCAGAGCCCTTTCCACTAGCTGACACTACCTGCAGTCCCGGAGGCACTGAGTTTTCAGCCTCGGCCACAGTGGATTTCTTTTTTCATCCAGAATAAATTTACATCAGCATCCTAACTTGTTAATTAAGTTCTGAGACTATGATATATGGCAAGCATAGGCATTCTGTAGGAGTCTGTGAATTCATTAGGACTCCTGGAGGGCAACACAGCTCTGGCTAGCTCACACAGAATGAAATCCAAACGCCTCCACATGGCATTCAAGAGCGACTTTGGCCTTACCTGAGTGTCTCAACTGTTTTTCCTGCTGCTAAGGCCCTCCAGACACCTCCCCATCCCGGGCCTCTGTCCAAGCAGGGCTCCCTGCCTGTAGCCAACCTCACCCCTAACTGCCACACATCACATTTTTGCTGGCTCAGCCAAATGTCCTCTCCTCCCATTAAGAATTTCCCCCTCCTCGGCATGCCCCTTCAAAAACCAAATCAGACCAATCAAAGCAGGAAGCTGCTTCCCCTCAGCATGCCCTCAGCACTCCATCTGTGATTCCTCCCACATGGGAGCACTTTTCCCCTTCATGCTGGCACCATGTACACCTGTATTAACCCAGGTTTTCATGCATTGACATCTGGGCCCTTGTTGACCCTGGAGGGACTGTCCCTCCCAGGACTGGCCAATTCCCAGAGCAAGCAAATGACTCCTCTGCAAGCACATCTTCCATATGCAAACTAACCAATCCAGAGCCCATACCCCCAACCACCTCCTGATGGGGCTCCTTCACTCTGGGCTACTATTCCCCTGCCCTAACCACCCAGGGCCAGGTACCAGACAACTAGCCTCTATACTCCAGAGCCTACTGAAATTATTCAGACTAGCCAATCCTAAACCTGCTTACCCTGCCTCACCCATTCCTTCCCACGGAAACTACGATAAAGGCTCTTGTCCTCATTTCCCTCACTCCTCTGGCTCCTGACTACCCCTGGTGCTTCCCTGTGTGGCCCTACGTGGCGTGGCAGGCCCCCTCCTCTTGGGGACTGTGACTAGCAAGCTATCTTTTCAATGGCTGTTGTCTCCTGATCTGCTGGCCCCCCATATTTGAACAATAATAAAACCTATGTTTTAAAACCTCACTTGTGGCCAGAACTCACAGTTTGCTAAGGGCAGGCCTGTTTCATCTTCAAGTGCCCCAGCGTGGCCAGGTGTGAGTGCTCAGGGAAGACTGAAGGCAGGATGACAGACTGACTGTTCTGCCCCCTCTCAGCAGCTCCACACCCAGCCCTCCACTTCTCCTTAGAATGTCTGCTTGTTACTAGATGTTCTGATAAAAGCCCAACTGTCAGACACCGGAGTGCTGGGTGGGAGCCAGTGGGCAATTAGGACAGAGATGGAGGAAGCAAATAAGATGAAGAACCCACCCTGCCCTTATGCCCAACAGCCCACCCCACTGCTGGTTTGTTTTGTGTGGTTTTTTGTTTTTTTGCCAGGGACTAGAAGGAAACAAATGAGTGGGCAGAAGGCAGGCAGCACCCACACAGACTCTTGCCCTCCCTCTCTCTGGCTCAAGACACTGACTGTCCCAAAGAGCTGAGCTGGGGGTTCCTGCTGGCTTCTCACCCATCAGATGTGTTCTTAGGCTTCTCCAGGGGAATACATAACTCTAAAGGCTAATGATCTTTCTCCTGCCCAGAGATGGAGCCAGAGGTCATCCCCGTGACTGCCACCATTAGCCCCCAAGCTGGCAGCCTGGATCCAACAGAAGCAGCAGAGAGAGGGGGCCTCAAGACTCAGTGCTCTGAGAGAGCTTGGCCGGTGCAGGAACCCTGCCCTGCCACTCTGTGGTGAGCCTCCTATTTATGCCCTCAGGCCCCAGTCAACCGCACTGAGGGCCACGATGGTCCAGGCCGGCCTCTGGTTGCCAGTGTCCCAGCACACTGCCCCGAACACAGCCCACAGGGCTGTAATCCCCACAGCTGGCCAGCAATTACTGCCTGCCAGACGTTTTTACTGTTCCAGTTTACGATCTATATGGACACAGTATTCTTCCTGTCCTTTTCCTCTGCTGGGCTACTATTTTTCTTTAAAAACACATGTAAAGGCTATATTTTCCTCTGTAAACATAATTTTTATTTCAGTGATGAAAAAAAAAAAAAAAAACAAAGTCACCGAGCTCAGATTTTTCATGTTCTTTAAAAACAAAACGTGACGCATGCACGCACAACAATATCCACGCGAAAATAAAGCCGAGGCTCCGAGAGGGCTGTGAACGATGCCATTTAAAATTACAGATTTGAAAAGCTATTTCTGGATTCCAGCAACTCGTAAGGAATAGAGGAAACATTTATTTTGGGTTGTTTTATTTCATTCCCACTCAATTTTGAACACGGCTGCTTAAAGCAACATTCATGGAAAGTGACACGGCTATTAATCACCAGCACAGCTACTGCACACGCAGCCTCTGGGGGAGGCCATGCTGCCCGCCTTCCCAGCTCTCCCTCTGGTCTCTTCTCCCAAAGGAGGCCAGTGACCTACTAAAAAGATAATTGCTTCGCATGTTTCCTGCTCTGCAGCATCATTGCATCAGCCTACTCTGAAT